AGCGCCGCCGGCGAGGGCGGGGTGGCAACGTGGCTGCTGTTTGTTTAAGCGGCGGGAGTCGGGGGCGCCTCTGGACCCGGTCGCCAGGTGGCTGCTGCAGCCTCGTTTTGCATCGAGGGAAACGGGAGCTCAGGGACGGCCAGTCGCTGGGCCGGCGGCGCGCAGACGGACGACCCGGCGATGGGCCGCCGGGTTCCCAAGCGGCTTTCCCATCGCACCGGTGCCGCCTGTTTCCACAAGGTCTGAAGTGATGGAGAACACGTTAGTATTCCCGCGGGGTGGCCCACGCCCTTGTGCCCCGTTTGGTCATTTGAAAGTATTGAAATCCGATGTAGTTTTACCATCTCCAAACGCCGTGAAGTCTTGCCAAGTGCGAAGCCTCGACTGCCGGGTAAAAGTCACCGGTGCTCATTCCAGCATCCACATTGGGCCTGAAACTCGCTCTGCTGGACCCGCTCCTGAGAGGTGGGTTGGGGTGGGAAATGAGCGAGCCTCGCTGCATTAACAACTTAAACTTTTTTTTTTTTAGAAAAATCACTGAATAGAACCTGTGCCACGCTGATGCGTGCAATTCTTTGTTTTACATAATGTGAAAACCTAATCAAAATAAGCCAAGGGTGTTCCTTTCCGACTGCCATTTACCTTAAGAATAAAAAGGGCTGTGGTTTTGGATTTTCCCAGTCTGTATTGAGCACCAGCTAATGCGGACGGTGCTGTGCTAGGCTTGTGTATCATCTGAAAAGACTGCAAATAACTTAAGCCGTCCTAAATGACATATATATGGGGGGGAGAACCTTCCACAGTTACAACACAAGAGCGGAAATGTGCAGGACAAAGGTGGAAGAATATAAGGAACAATAGTTATTGTAAACCACTTTGCAGAGTATACTTGTTAACACTAGCCTGAATCCAAAAACATAAAAGCTCTTCATCAGCGATGCAGACTGCATGTAGTGTAAACTGTCATTAAATTCTGCTGTCTGCATAAACTGTATCCAAGGGATCCTACCTGGCCAGAGAGGATAGCAATTCCAATTACTTTGGCCTCTGGGAGACAGATAAGATACAGTTTTGAATTCCAGACCAAACTAAAACCCAACTTACTGTAAAGAATCCAGACCTGGATCTATCTCAGATGTGTATCCAACTTTCCCAGACCTTAAATAAAGCATGCCAGACTGTCCTTGGCACACAAAAGAAGTGGTTATACTACAGGCACTCAGGAGGTGTTCAGTCTAGTTAGTACAGGGGGGCACATGTAAACAAATAAGGGTAGCCTGGAGATTGGAGTAAGTACCCTAAGATGGGATGGTAACAAAGAAAAAGGAACTGCTAGCTCTGCCCTTTGCATTAATCAAGATTCTGAGAAAATTAATCTAGACGTTCTTGAAAGTTGCTTATGGAAAGTAAACTTTTAAGACATTTTTGATATACATTGATTATGTAAAGTATGATGCCAATACAAGTAAAATGGAATACTTCTTAGGCCTCCTTTTTATAGTAATTATAAATGATTCTTAACTATTCTCAAGGGCAGGAACTTTACTAGGGAACACTCATTCACAAACACTCAATTTTTCTAAGTTTAATCACTGTGGATATTAAAAGTAGGCCAAGAATGTCTTTAAAAATTACTACTTAGGTCTATGATGTGCAAACAACTGTATTTACATTTCTATGCTCTTTTCATATATCTTCATTGATAGCTACTTAAAAGAATAAATGTTCATATCAAAACCTTTTTTTTTTTAAGATTTAAAAATATATGTATTTTTACTGATTTCACAGAGAGAAGAAGGGAGAAACATTGATCGGCTGCCTCCTGCATGCCCCCCACTAGGGATGGAGCCCTCAACCCCAGCATGCGCCCTGACTGGTTACCTTTTGGTGCATGGAACAACACAACCAACTGAGCCACACTGGCCAGGGCTCATATCAAAACCTTTATTAGCTTTTATTTTGTTCCAATTTAGTATACAATATCACAGACTGAACATGTGTGTCTTGAAAATACTTAGTCAAATATACTTAGTGTACTCAGACACAAAGTTTTCATGAATAAAACAGTCAAATATAAAATATTATTTCAAATATTTACAAAGACTCATGATTTCAAAATTCTTACTTATTCAGGTTTAATAATCTGTGAACTAATTTGAAATTATTGAGGTTTCACCAACCATGTGCTGGCAATGCAACAGCCAATGACATTCACCAACAAGATTCTGAACTCTGCCAGTATTGCGGCAGTTGTCATTTATGCAAGAGTTATAGAGGATTCACACTTAGGTGGTGCTTACTGTTGTGTTCCAATCTCTGTTCTAAGCATTTTACAAATATTAACTCATTGAATCCTCATAACAGCATTCTGAACCGATACTATTATTATGCCCATTTACAGAAAATGTAACAAGAGCAGGACAATGAGTGTCCCTCCCATTTCTCAAGTTATACAATCAGTATATTATATAACTAATACTCTGGGACAACAAAGGCTTGTGTCTCTCAAAGCCAGGAATTGCTACGAATTTTTTCTTGGCCCCCCTTCCCCCAGCCTAATCAATTATTCTAGAAGCTGAAGGATGAGCTAAAGTAAAAGTGCTATGGTCTCTGTATCACAACAATTGAGAACAAAGCTAATTGAGCACCTATTTGTCTTACCTTTGCTCTTCTGGCAATGTTTAAACTATAAAGCATAACCACTGCAGGCTGACAGGAAATTTACTAAAAGACAGGGGCAAAGCCAGTATTACATGCACAGGACAGCGTTAAATGAGGAAATGAATTTAGAAATGACTGTGTTAACTCTTGAAGAAAACCCAGTGAACACAATTTACCTTAAAGGGACTAGACCTATTTCTCCTTTAAAAATATGTTTAAAATTCATAAGGGAGTATCTGTTCTGCTCAGGAAATCAAATATCTGATTGTTAGCTAGTGGCTTCTCGTTTCCTCATCTGTGAAATCTCATTTTAATGCGTTACAGCGAACAGAAAAATCACAAGTATAGGCATACCACCAAGATAAACAGGAAGATGATCTTTGAGTTCTGGGAAAAGCAACAAAAAATCTGAGCCATTTTCTAACTATAGTATTGGGACATGCACAAGTAGGTGTCGTCGGGAAACAGCACCTGCTCTTTTCAGTACTGGGGGTTCTGCCAGAGGCACACATGAGCTGTGTGCTTCTCCACACACGGGGAACCAGCTTTGCTGTCTATTAAGGTTGGAAAGTTTCCCTCTAAACACAAAATAATTAAAATAGACTTTCTGTATATTC